CAGCACAATAAAGAACCACAGCATATTTGGATTAGGACAGATCCATTCCCCGTATTGTCTCTAGTCCATTTGCAAATATCTTTCTAATAAGTCAGAATTTGTGTACTGCTAGACACACCCTCTCCACCTTAACAATAATTTGCAGCGTTGTCAGTGAATCTGTTGTCAGTGAATCTGCTGTGGAGGAAGACGGGGTAAGCTCATGCTCCTTATATTGGAAAATTCCAGAGGCAATTTTAAGATCGGTGATTTACAATACAGGCATGCTGTGGCACCTTAAGGTACCTACTAGAAAATCACATACTGGTTTATTGTATATGGCAATGCCACAGGTTTATTTTAATTAGCAATACAGTCCAATAGCAACAAATATTCTAATGTCAATGTCAGCACTTTAGCATGATTTTTAAGTTTTTTCAGTCACATCCTTTCATTGCAGCTTCAATAATATACAAAAACACACTCCGTATATTCTATAGAGCACTACTAAATTCAATGAGTTGCAAGTGCAGCAACCAGATTCAGATTATGGTTTTTAGAGGTCTGATTGGCTGCTAAGAGTTACTACACTTTCTATATTTCCACTGCTTTTTTTTTTTTTTTTTTAGTACACAGGTTTTTCACTTTTCAAAACGGTTAAAACAATTAAAGCAAATTGATCACATGTACAGTAAAATTACACAATCATAGATTAGACTTTTCACATTATAGAACTCTTTTGCCTTCAAATCATTTTGTGAACCAATTGCCAGCTGTGGGGGGGAAAAAAAAAAAAAAAAAAAAGCAGCTCTGCCACCTTTTTGTAATCTCCAACATTTTATTAGCAATGAATTCCCTTTAATATTTTAATGGTTTAGGCGTATATACAATATATGTAGAAGCCTGAATGATTGTCAGAAAAGGGCAGTGATCAGATTTTCATATTTTATGGAGAAAAGAAAAAAGTCTAATTTTTCTTCCTGGTTAACATTTATAATTTTTGCTAACAGAAGTATTAAATCCTGATCTACACAAACGATATAGACTGATTTTGATGTACTAAGCAAGCTTTTTTTTTTTCTAACTTTATTTGGAAAGGTGTACCATTGCCTTCATCTTTGGTTATGTAGTAACTAGAGACAGACAAAGCTGCTTGCAGTAGGTCGGTGCTGTATTTATCAATGCATCAGTGGCACTGAAGTGCTGATTGTTTGAAGTCACCTCATTGTACATGTCTGAAGCAGGACACCAATGTACAGAGCCTGTCTTTGTTGACCATCTGAGGAATTGCATTGTGTCGGGGGATCTTGTTAGAACAAATTAACAGCAAGACATGGTAAGAGCCACATTTGCAAAGTCATATTTGATATTGATTCTACTTGTCTACATATCCTCCTAGCAATCCAATGAACTGTTTAGTAAATTTACACAATACTTTATTATAAGCTAGTAGCTCCTAATGTATTATATTTGCCAGCCATAGATGGATCAAATCCTGGCCGGTTCAGTAAGGACTGGCCGAGATTCAATCCATCTATGGCCAGGCTGGTTGTACCGAAGTTGATCCATTGATCTACTTCAGTACAACCAGCTTGTTGGATTTTTCTTTCAAACACTGCCGACACCTATAGCCAGCAGCTATAGCCAGCAGCTATAGCCAGCAGCTATAGCCAGCAGCAGCGATCACTGTGTTCTGTCGATAGGGGAGGCTCTTTGCTGACAGAACAAAGTAGTGCTGCAGGAGGGATTCCCCCCCCATCAACACGGACTCTGTTGATGAGGGAATCAAGTAATTTTCTTCCTTACACTCGTGGTGGAAGGAAATAAAATTGTATTCTATGAGCTGCTTAAGAAAAGTGACCCTTTCATGCACTCTCTTCTCACACCATTAATGCCATATTGGAAACCAACTCTATATAGAGAAGTATGTAGCCATTCAACTTACTATGCACTGGTCCAAGGAGATACTTTCTATACAGCAAGCACAGCAAGCACATCAGAAAATAGATAGGCTGACTTTCCTTGATTATTGATTCAGTCTCTAAAACAGGTTGTTACACTTTTGTAAATATATCAGGTGCAGTCCAAACACAATTTAGTTTATAAACTAAAAAATGCCATTGTAGCCACATTTGGGTTAATAAGAAATCTGCATATTCAGTCTATATTAATATTAGGCAAGTTTCCCTGTTTATTGAGCATTTACGCTTATCCTGATAATTTAACTGGATGGTCACAGAGTCTCCTGAGGTCTGACAGTTGCTGCTTGTCAACTGCCTGATCTCACACAATACACAAATGGAAGATGGTAGATGGCTTGTCAACTGCTTGACATTATACACCAACAACCTTCATACTTTTAGGTGACATCTGGCCCTCTTTATGCCTCAATAATGGCTTCCATTTTACTATTCAGACAGGTTCTCTAATGGTTCATAGCACATGCAGACCTGAACATGGAACAAAATATTATTTAACAACCATTGCTACAGGTACAGAAAGTCAGACCTATTCGTGACCATAGATCAGGTTTTAAATTCTCTTAACTATGGCCCTGAACTTTTTAGCTCATTTTTTTTATAAACTTGTTTTAAATCACTGCGCTCTGTTAATGACCTTTTTGGCAAATCAAACAAAGATGCCATATATCTTGCACAATGGGCTCTGCTTGTTTGCGATTGTCAAACAGGAGAGGACTGAAGAGCCTGTGGAGCTTATCAAGTTCCTTGAGCAGCATGTGAAAGCAAGACTGCAACAGGCAATTCATTTGGAATTTCACAATTATTTTTTTTTTTAATGCTGGGATCTATTTGTTTTACTTGGTGTCTTAGCTCAGACATGTGAACTCTTAATACATTAATTGGTATATTCTTGAAAAGCACACAGTCTTAGGTTGGAGCACATTAACAGCAAACTAATAATAGAACATATACATGACAAGACTGCCTTATCAAAGTGGCACATAGGCTACAAAAATGAAATATCCTATGCTGTTAAATACATAGTGTACATACACTTTTTAAAAAAAGGAAAATCATGTTGTCATGTGCTCTAAAAAATTTTTGCCACATATATTCCTATAGGAATTCAAATTTTTACATATATTTAACAGCTAAACAAACTGCTGGTTAAGGATTTAAATATTTTCCTGAAATTACACTGTAATCTATTAAGTATAACAAAGGGCAGCTGTCAGATTTTATCATTTTTCAGCAATGAAACTGGGGAAATAGGATTGGTTGCCTCTATTTAGTGCGTTTGCTTATTTAAGTTACACTCCACAAAAAAAGTGCTATGAAGGCTCGTCAAACAATGCATGTTTAACAGAAAATCTGACTTGCTTAATTATTAAAGATAATTTTGTGCTACAGTATAACAAAAAAAAAAAGTCACCACAGCATAATTTCTCACATGTTCACAGGACGCTATATACAAACTAGCTGCATCAATTAATTGGCATGGTGTTTATAATACAGTCTTCCTGCAAAGTTTAAAAAAAAAACAAAAAGAAAAACACGTGGAATTCACAAAAGCCGTTTATCACTGTATACATAAAGAAGGTGGGACTGACACTTCTTACACAAAGAATCACTAAACAAATACTAGAACAGGACGCAGTGACCAGTTTTTCAACATGCAAAATGCTACAGCCTTGAGAATATTGTCACGAGTTTACCTGTAATCCCTGTACGTCCTTTTCAGTGGTAAACAAAGCTGTGAATTCAGATTTTATATAACCTTGATATGACAATACATTAGCACATTTTTAAACCTCCACCTCTACTTTGTGCCAAGAGGGTTTAATGACTGAGAATATGAGAATGCTCTAAGAAAAGAATAAAATATTATGAGGGATATCAGCCAAAATGTCTAATTATATTAAACTAAAAACAAAACAAATAAAAGCCTTATTGTGACCTGTGCAGGACCCTGATCAATCAGAATTATGCACAATTCTGTTTTTCATAGGGTAGTACCCACCTACACCTTTAGGTGTCGCTGCTGCTGCTTCTTGAGCCCATGAAACTTTAGAACTCCCATCCAACTCAAGTTACATAAATGGCGACAGCAACATCCATATGATTTAGGAAGGTATCATTTAGCATGCCAAGAATGTATATAAAAAAAATCTAATAAGCACATTTGGCACGGTGAATAAAAAAGTTCAATGAATCATCTATAATAAATTATATTAAAGTTTGCCCCTCAAAGGCAAAGTATTTGCATTACGGTCCAAAACAACATGTTAAAGGGAAAACATTGACAACTGATTTATAGATTTTTTTTTTTTTGTGGGTTAGAGGATATTTCAGTGTAAAAATTAAAATTCAACCTGTCTAAAAATATATTTTACATGTTCATCCAACCTGGAACCTGCCAAGTACCCATGTTTGCCAACTCTTGACTGAGTGAAGTCCCTGATCATCTTTAGTGGTATTTGTTTTTTTTTTTGGTTTTTCTGTTTTTTTTTACATATTAATTTGTGTTAGATCTGTATTTTCAAACTTGGTACATTTACAGTATCTTTTGGTCTCCTGACTCCACTTACACGATTATATTCAGCACCATCACTAGAGATCATGCCAAGGTTCCAGGTGGCACCTTTGAGAAAGGGCTCCAGAACAAGAAACTTCTGAATTATGGTTGTAGGTTATCCACCACTAATGTTATGATTCTACACAAGAAAATGTAGAAATTGTCAAAGCACAATGTAAACAGTAGCAGGACAGAGACATCAAAGGAGGCGCCCGTAGGACCCATTAGTCTTTTTCGAGTAAGTTATACAGTGCAAGAAACACCCAATCAAACATGAGACAATGGCACTTGCTTGTGATATAAAGCTGAACTTGGCAAGCCAGTCCTTGCTGTTAGCGCTGTGCTGGCTTCATTGAATGCTAAGGCATTGATTGATTTACTGCTTCTACAACATCTGCCTGTGACCCTCCTCCAAGACTCCAAAGTTTTTCCAGACCAGATCCATACCCCTGAGGTTATTCCCACTAATAGGCACATAAAGTACTTTAACATAAAAACCGCATACTCAGGCCTGGCTTTATTTTTGTCCCCAGGACAAGAGCATTGTGGGATTTTTCCCAGAATTCTCTGTAGTGCTGTTCATAGATATAGCAGGCAACAACAATGGTTGCAGGTACAGTGTAGAGTACAGTAAATATACCTATTCTGATCATCAGTTTTTCCAGTTTATCAGTTTTGGTGCCACCCTGTTTTATTACACTCCTAATTCTGAAGAGTGACACAAATCCTGCAAGGAGAAACATTGTTCCTGTGAAAAGGTAAACTACTAGTGGAGCCAACACAAACCCACGAAGATTGTCTAGGTTTTGGTTACCTACATAGCAGATTCCAGCCACCGGGTCGCCATCCACAGAACTTAAAGCGAGGACAGCTATGGATTTGACGCTTGGTATCAACCACGCGGCCATATGGAAATACTGAGAGTAGCTAGCAATGGCCTCATTGCCCCACTTCATGCCAGCAGCCAAGAACCAGGTGAAGGACAAGATGACCCACCAAATAGAACTGGCCATTCCAAAGAAGTAAATAAGTAGAAATACTATTGTACATAGAGCTGGTCCTGTTGTCTCATAATGAATGTGGTCTCTGTTGCAGGCAACATTTTCATGACCCACCAGAAGCCTGACAATGTAGCCAATGGATACAAAGAGATAGCACGCAGATAAAAAGATGATAGGGCGTTCTGGATATCGAAATCTCTCCATGTCAATTAGGAATGTGGCCACAGTAGTAAAGGTTGAGATGAAACATAGGATGGACCACAATCCTATCCAGAAGGTAGCAAATGTCTTCTCATCCTGAGTGAAATAGGGCTGGAAACATGGCACAGCACAGTTCGGCACCTGGCCAGTTTTGACCCTATTATACAGCGGATGGGATTCTTTTGTTATGGAGTAGAAAGGCTCCCTGCATTTACAATCTCCATTACATTCACTGTTCGGCTGTCTGTTTGGAGTCAAGTGTTTTGATCCCCTTGGTGGGTATGTAGGTTTTGTAAAGAACGGTGGATGTGTTGTGGTTTCTGTCCTATTATAATCCATACAAAGATCTTCTGGGTCTCCATTCAGAGGAAGTTTATCACAATTCATTCTCTCCGGCCAAGCAAAACCATACTGCCTCATAAGTGGAGAACAACCTGCCTTTGCCCTCTCACAGACTGACCTGCAGGGTGGCAAAGGTTTCTTATAGTCAGCCAAGCAAATGGGTGTATACATGCTACATAAGAAAAATTTCAAGTCAGGTGAACACTGAATTTCCACTAAAGGCCAAAACTGGTGGACTTCCAAGCCAGCTTCATCTTGAGTGTCATGGTTAAACTGATTGGGCATATAGGTGTAATTATACCCAATGCCTTTGCACATGGGAACGGTGATTTCCTGACAGACGATTGCTTTGGAGGCCATGGACACAGGTGCAGGGAGCTGCAGGAGAAGTAAAAAGCCTACTACAAACATCACAGGGATCCGTATTGCCATTGTTTCTGCTTATAGATAGCAATCTTCGTCCTTTACATTTGAAATATTTCAAAGATATTCATTTGTTATTGTTTGTTAAAATCAAAAAGGATCATCCGATGTGCAGTTTCCACAATATTTTCCAGATCTGTTTTTCTGTAAAACAAGATTAAAGTTCTTATTATTTACTTTTGAATTATTAACAATAGCAAGGCCTCTTAATTTTTTAAAACACTGCACACTTTAATTTTAAGAATTTCACATATATACAGCTAGTGTTATATTTAAAACCACACATCTTAACTTTCTTTTAAATCGCAAGGATACACTGTATGATTATGTATATATGTGCACACATACACACAAATATATTACAATTACACAAACTAAAAAGGTCACATACATATATATATATATATATATATATATATATATATATATATATATACGCACACACACATACATATATATATACACACATACTATTAATATAACTGAAGATAGGTGTGTGTATATATATATATATATATATATATATACACACATACACACATATATACACACACACACACACACACACACACTTTAGTTTTATTAACCAATGAAGCTCCAGAAGGGATACTTTTTTTGAATGTGTGTATATTTTTATTCTTTAGTGTAGTTTTACAATATGGTTCTAAAGTTTTAATAATAGCAAGGGTAAACTTTGGGAATATATATATATATATATATATATATATATATATATACATATACATACACACATATATACATACACACACCCAAATACATATATACATACACACACAAATACATACATATACATATACACGCTGTATTTCTAAAGTTGTAGTAACAGGGCACACTTATTGATTCTACATAAACACACATATATACTCACACATTAGTTGTATGGTTGTAATCATGATAAAGATGATGGTTTCTAGATACATGCATATATGGGGTGTAATGAATGAGTAAATCCCAGTGGATTTTAAACTATCAAAGTGACATTAAAAATCCAACTCTATCGCAGAGTTTTCCAATTCGATCTGATTGTCTCCAGGTGTGAATCCTGGGTGAAAATGGTGTAAACCTTGGCCGATTGCTGGGTGTACCTGGCTGTCAGTCTCAGGCTCAGTGCAGGACTCGCAGGTCTCGTTGTTGATACTGATTTGTAGACAGGCAGAGTTTTGCAGAAGTCCCAGGAAAGAGGTCGGGGTCCCGGGCTGGGGGGATGCGGTCAATGCGGATTACACCGGTGATCGGTCAGGGCGATCACAGGACGGTCCGGGCCGGCAACGCTCTCTCCCTCCCGGACGATCCTCAGAAAAGTTTTGCGGAGCTGCGGAGGAAGTTTGATGAGAAGCGGATCAGTCATGGCTGGAAGTGTCAGTGCGCTGCGATCTCTGTGTTCTCCCATAGTCAGTGGCTGGAGCGGAGTGATGTCCGGGCTCAGCTGTCATCAGTGTCAGCACTTCCCCAGTACTCAGCGCGATCACTGGTCAGATCCGGTGCCCGGCCTCCCCCTCATGACTCCTATAGGGGGATCCCGGGAGATCTCAGTACTCGGACAGCGGTAGGAAAGTCTCCTCTGTTCCCGCAGGACTTTGCTTATCTCCCTACCTGTGCTCACTAGGGTCCCCCTGGAGGGAACGCCCATTTGTCAATGATGCCCAACCCCTTCTCGCCTATGATTGGAGCCACACATTACTTGGCCACACCCACTACTGCCACACCCCCATAGCTCTATTGGTTGGAGCGCTGACAGTGACTGCTCCTGTGGATGATCAGTGGGGACCGGAGTCAGGAGCAGACAAGGTCTGTGCTGGTGGGAGGATGTCTGCAACTACTGCTAACACTTTACAACCTGTAGTATATATAACCCCAGGTCCTGTCACGTATATATATAAGACCAGGGCCGGGGTAATCACCGCCTATAGGTCCTGTCACGTGTATATAAGACCGGGGCCAAGGTAATCACCGCCTATAGGTCCTGTCACGTATATATAAGACCGGGGCCAAGGTAATCACCGCCTATAGGTCCTGTCACGTATATATATAACACCAGGGCTGGGGTAATCACCGCCTATAGGTCCTGTCACGTATATATATAAACACCAGGGCTGGGGTAATCACCGCCTATAGGTCCTGTCACGTATATATAAACACCAGGGCCGGGGTAATCACCGCCTATAGGTCCTGTCACGTGTATATAAGACCAGGGCCGGGGTAATCACCGCCTATAGGTCCTGTCACGTATATATAACCCTGGGGCCGGGGTAATCACCGCCTATAGGTCCTGTCACGTATATATAAGACCGGGGTAATCACCGCCTATAGGTCCTGTCACGTATATATAACCCTGGGGCCGGGGTAATCACCGCCTATAGGTCCTGTCACGTATATATAAGACCGGGGTAATCACCACCTATAGGTCCTGTCACGTATATATAAGACCGGGGCCGGGGTAATCACCGCCTATAGGTCCTGTCACGTATATATATAAGACCAGGGCCGGGGTAATCACCGCCTATAGGTCCTGTCAAGTATATATAACGCCAGGGTAATCACCGCCTATAGGTCCTGTCACGTATATATATATATATATATATAACCAGGGCCGGGGTAATCACCGCCTATAGGTCCTGTCACGTGTATATAAGACCGGGGCCAAGGTAATCACCGCCTATAGGTCCTGTCACGTATATATAAACACCAGGGCTGGGGTAATCACCGCCTATAGGTCCTGTCACGTGTATATAACCCTGGGGCCATCACCGCCTATAGGTCCTGTCACGTATATATAACCCTGGGGCCGGGGTAATCACCGCCTATAGGTCCTGTCACGTATATATAAGACCGGGGTAATCACCGCCTATAGGTCCTGTCACGTATATATAACACCGGGGCCGGGGTAATCACCGCCTATAGGTCCTGTCACGTGTATATAAGACCAGGGCCGGGGTAATCACCGCCTATAGGTCCTGTCACGTATATATAACCCTGGGGCCGGGGTAATCACCGCCTATAGGTCCTGTCACGTATATATATAAGACTGGGGTAATCACCGCCTATAGGTCCTGTCACGTATATATAAGACCGGGGCCGGGGTAATCACCACCTATAGGTCCTGTCACGTATATATATAAGACCAGGCCGGGGTAATCACCGCCTATAGGTCCTGTCAAGTATATATAACACCAGGGCCGGGGTAATCACCGCCTATAGGTCCTGTCACGTATATATATATATATAAGACCAGGGTCGGGGTAATCACCGCCTATAGGTCCTGTCACGTGTATATAAGACCGGGGCCAAGGTAATCACCGCCTATAGGTCCTGTCACGTATATATAAACACCAGGGCTGGGGTAATCACCGCCTATAGGTCCTGTCACGTATATATAACACCAGGGCCGGGGTAATCACCGCCTATAGGTCCTGTCACGTATATATAAACACCAGGGCTGGGGTAATCACCGCCTATAGGTCCTGTCATGTATATATAACCAGGGCCGGGGTAATCACCGCCTATAGGTCCTGTCACGTATATATAAAACACCAGGGCCGGGGTAATCACCGCCTATAGGTCCTGTCACGTGTATATAAGACCAGGGCCGGGGTAATCACCGCCTATGGATCCTGTCACATATATATAAGCCCGGGGCCGGGGTAATCACCGCCTATAGGTCCTGTCACGTATATATATAAACCTGGGGCCGGGGTAATCACCGCCTATAGGTCCTGTCACGTATATATATAACCCTGGGGCCGGGGTAATCACCGCCTATAGGTCCTGTCACGTATATATAAGACCGGGGTAATCACCGCCTATAGGTCCTGTCACGTATATATAACACGGGGCCGGGGTAATCACCGCCTATAGGTCCTGTCACGTGTATATAAGACCAGGGCCGGGGTAATCACCGCCTATAGGTCCTGTCACATATATATAACCCCGGGGCCGGGGTAATCACCGCCTATAGGTCCTGTCACGTATATATAACCCTGGGGCCGGGGTAATCACCGCCTATAGGTCCTGTCACGTATATAAGACCGGGGTAATCACCGCCTATAGGTCCTGTCATGTATATATAACACCAGGGCCGGGGTAATCACCGCCTATAGGTCCTGTCACGTATATATGAACACCAGGGCCGGGGTAATCACCGCCTATAGGTCCTGTCACGTGTGTATAAACCACCGGGGCCGGGGTAATCACCGCCTATAGGTCCTGTCACGTGTATATAGACTAGGGCTGGGGTAATCACCGCCTATAGGTCCTGTCACATATATATAAGCCCGGGGCCATCACCGCCTATAGGTCCTGTCATGTATATATACCCTGGGGCCGGGGTAATCACCGCCTATAGGTCCTGTCACGTATATATAAGACCGGGGTAATCACCGCCTATAGGTCCTGTCACGTATATATAACACCGGGGCCGGGGTAATCACCGCCTATAGGTCCTGTCACGTGTATATAAGACCAGGGCCGGGGTAATCACCGCCTATAGGTCCTGTCACGTGTATATAAGACCAGGGCCGGGGTAATCACCGCCTATAGGTCCTGTCACGTATATATAACCCCGGGGCCGGGGTAATCACCGCCTATAGGTCCTGTCACGTATATATAAACCTGGGGCCAGGGTAATCACCGCCTATAGGTCCTGTCACGTATATATAAGACCGGGGTAATCACCGCCTATAGGTCCTGCCACGTATATATAACACCGGGGCCGGGGTCATCACCGCCTATAGGTCCTGTCACGTATATATATAAGACCGGGGTAATCACCGCCTATAGGTCCTGTCACGTATATATAACACCGGGGCAGGGGTAATCACCGCCTATAGGTCCTGTCACGTATATATAACACCGGGGCCAGGGTAATCACCGCCTAT